CTTCCACTAGAGAAAAGAGAGAAAAAAAACAAAGAAAAGAAAAATCAAAGCTTATCAAACAGCCTTTGGAAATTGATTTGTCTGATAAAGGTGATAAACATGTCATGCAGAGATAATGATCTGTTGATCTCCCTCCAAACACAGAGTCCCAATCCAAGCACAAAGACCAAAACAGTAATTTGTCAAGTCAACCAAAAACCGTCACAGAAGAAAACGAGAAGAAGCCCAAAATAACCTCGTAGTCTTCTTGGTGCAGGCAGATGCCGTTTTCCAAAACCCATTTCAACCACACCTCCATAGCCATAACTATCCCACTGGATATAGCAACCATAGTCATGGCTTCATTAATGGCTCCGGTGAGTCTGAAAATGACTTAGTGCAGGCTCGGCGGTTAGTTGGGCACATGCTGTCATTAAATGTTTTACCTTCTTTTTTGCTTCTCAAAATCTCTACTGCCCGTGCCACTCTCTTTTAGAAACTCCTCTTAAGTTTCTCTCTCTAATCAAAAGCTTATTAGTCATCAAATTCCCATTTTTATTATTATAACGTGGGTTGGGTTTCGGTGAGCAACTTGGGTTTAGGCGCTGGCGTTTCAAGAATGCAGACTCAAAGCTCGTGACTGGAGCTGAGTAAGAATTTTCCCTTTTGTTTTTTGTTCAGTTCCACAGAGCACAAAACAGAAAGAAATTTGCCATTTTGTTTATTGGATAATTCTTGTATTGCTTAAATTTTCATTCTTTGGTAGAAAAAAGAACAATCCCAGAGATGACCAAGAAGAATCTCCATTGACCATCATGAAACTGTTCTCTGTATTGTCACAAACTGAAACAGCAATGGGAGTGACAACCCAAGTTGGCGCCTTTGCAATAGCGCTAATCTTGTTCTTGATTCAGAGCGGTTTTGCCCAGCAAGGTTCTTTAAGCTCCAGCGTACAACGGTCGGCGTTACTAGACCTCCGGTCGTCGTTGGGTCTCAGAAGCAAAGACTGGCCCATAAAGGCTGACCCTTGCTCGTCCTGGACAGGAGTTAAATGCAAGAACGGCAAAGTTATTGGGATCACGGTGTCCGGTTTAAGGCGAACCAGACTTGGCCGGAGCAACCCCCGGTTCGCCGTAGATTCATTGGCCAATTTCACCCTCTTGGCTACTTTCAACGCCTCTGGCTTTGCGCTTCCCGGAACTATACCCGACTGGTTTGGCCAAAGACTTAGTGCTCTCCAAATGCTTGATCTTAGGTCTGCTTCAGTCATTGGTCCTATACCTCAGTCGCTTGGTAATTTGAGCAAGCTTAATACTTTGTATTTATCTGGCAATAATATTACTGGTATTATACCTTCTGCACTGGGAAACATAGCAGAGTTGGTGAATCTTGATCTTTCTCGTAATTCACTTGCTGGGTCAATACCGTCCGGTTTTGCCTCTCTTCGAAATCTTACAAGGCTTGACCTTTCTTCAAATTTCTTATCTGGGCAAATTCCACCAGGTTTAGGTAGCCTTACCAGACTTCAATTCTTGAACCTAGCTGATAATAGTCTCACAGATTCCATTCCAGTTCAGTTTGGTAACCTTTCCCAGTTGCTTGAGCTTGATCTTAGCAAGAATTCGTTGTCTGGGTCATTTCCTGTGGAATTGAGAGGGTTGAGGAGTTTGAGGAAGATGGAGATTGGAGATAATGATCTAGAAGGTCCACTGTCAGAGGGTTTGTTTTCAACTCTTGTTCAGCTACAAGTTCTAGTTCTGAGTCGGAATAAGTTTGATGGTGCTCTTCCTGGTGCATTGTGGTCACTTCCCAGTTTGCGCTTTCTAGATGTCTCCAGCAACGATTTTACAGGAACTCTGCCGAGCCTGGGCCCAAATGCTAGTGTTAGTGGTGCCGTGTTCAACCTCTCTTATAATCTCTTATACGGATATCTGACTTTTCCTCTTGGGAAATTTGGTTCAATCGATTTGTCTACTAACTATTTGCAAGGCAAGGTACTAGAAGATAGTCAAAGCAATGGTACTCTTGCTAGAAATTGCCTTCAGATGGTACCAAATCAAAGGAGTTTGCAGGATTGTAGGCAGTTCTATGAACGGAAGAGATTAATGTTCGATGATTTTGGGGCCCTAGAACCAACTCAGCCACCTTTCCTTCAACCTGACTCGAACAGGAAGCGATTAATATTTATACTGGTTGGGATATTTGGCGGACTTGGCTTCATTGGGATTTTGGTACTAGTTCTGGTAGCGCTCCTGAAAATGTGCAATAAAAACACAAATCAACAAGCAAGTGCAAATGCCGGGCCCGTTCCTGATGGAGATGGCCCTTCAATCCCCAAAGATCTCATCTATGAATCAGGCCGAGGAGATTCATTTACATATGAGCAGATTCTCCAATTCACTAAAGATTTTAGTGAAGCAAATCTTATAGAGCATGGACACTCTGGAGACATATACCTGGGGTCCTTGGTGAGTGGAACACCTGTAGTAATCAAAAGGGTAGATTTGCATTGCGTCAAGAAAGAATCCTATGTGCTAGAAATGGATTTATTCAACAAGGTTTCACATACAAGATTGGTGCCACTTTTGGGGTACTGCTTGGAGCACGAGAGCGAGAAGTTTCTGGTTTACAAATACATGCCAAATCGAGACTTGGCTAGTTCCTTGCACAGAGTTACCAATTCAGAAGATGGCAATTTAAAGTCCCTGGATTGGATTACAAGGTTAAAAATTGCAATTGGAGCAGCTGAAGTCCTAGCTTACCTACATCATGAGTGCAGCCCACCCCTTGTTCACAGGTATTTCTGAACTTGCTTTCAGCTATTCTTGTTCTCTGTTCATTCTATGTCAACCGTTGCTGATTTCCTTTTGATCTGACATCTTATAGTCCTTAATAATAGTGATTTGGAGTCCTTATAGCCAATAAAAACATTTCACCTCAAGTTATTAATAGCTAAATAAAGATTTTGTGATTCTGGTTTATGATTACAACTACAACTATTGCTGAAACTGAAGGCAAATTATGCCTTGTGGTTGATTCTAAGCCATGTTATGCCCCCTCGGTACCCCTCATTCAAGACTTTAGTTCCCATACTTACTATAGCTTGTAGTTCATATTTAATTTTTCTGTATTTGCAAATTTCAGTTTAGTTTATTTAGTTGAATAAGTAATTAAAAAGTTATTTTTGGTGGTTGAAGGGATGTTCAAGCAAGCAGTATACTTCTCGATGATAAATTTGAGGTCCGACTTGGAAGCTTGAGTGAGGTCCGTGTTCAAGGGGATGCTAACCAAAATGTAATCACGAGGTTGTTGCGGAAACAACAGTAAGTGCTCATTCATTTATGAGTTGCCCTGCATTCATACGATCTTTGGCATTTTTCATCAAATTACAGTTCAGTCAGGGATATTTTTATCTGTTTTGTTTCTCATTCCTTTCTGTCTTGTCTGTCTTGTGCAGAACTTCTGAACAAACCCCTTCTGGTATCTACTCGAAACTATTTTCTGCAAGTTTTCATTCCTTTTATTTTATTCCCCCTCCCCATCTGAAGCAAGGCTAGACTGTTCTCTTTTAGTAGATTAACTTGTTTCGTTTCTTTGTTTGTGGACAGCCTCATCATCGGTGGCTTGCGCTTACGATGTCTACTGTTTCGGGAAGGTTTTGCTTGAGCTTGTGACGGGTAAACTTGGCACCAGCAAATCAGATGATGCCTCAACAAGAGAGTGGCTAGATCATACAGTGCGTTACATCAGCATATATGACAAGGAACTGATTAATAAGATTCTTGACCCATCTCTGATAGTAGATGATGATCTACTGGAAGAGGTATGGGCCATGGCAATCGTGGCCAGGTCCTGCCTTAACCCCAAGCCTTCCAAGCGTCCCCTGATGAGATATATCCTTAAAGCATTGGAAAACCCTCTAAAAGTGGTGAGGGAAGATAGTTCGAGTTCTGCAAGGCTGCGGACAACTTCATCTAGAAGATCCTGGAGCGCTGCTTTCTTCGGTAGCTGGCGGCACAGCTCATCGGAGGGTGCCACTGTTCCTGGCCATGCAAACAGAGAGAGCATCGGTAGCTTAAAACAGCCGGGGCTAGCAGGTGGAAATGAGTCTTCCGCTTCCCGTAAAAGGTTATCAAATGAAATTTTCCCTGAGCCGATTGAAATGCAAGATCTCGAGAGGCAAGAAGAACATTAATCGAAAGAGTGCTGAACCCCCAGTTTCATTGCTTGGCAACTGGGTTTATGAGGCATCTGGTTTGATGTTTATCTGGCGGAAATGTAAATGTAAAATCAAGTTGATCCATTAAGTTGGGACAGATTCTTATTCATATTAGAGCTTGTTAATTGTAGAAAACAAGCTGCAAAATCTCTGTGATAGATGCTTTTTAAAAAGGTTTATACTCCATTCTAGGGATATTTTTTAAAAGGGTTATTATCACAAAATGTCCCTAAGATTTACGAAACTATCAGATTGCATCCTTAATGTTTTTTTGTATCATTCGTGACCCTCAATGTTAGTATATGCGATCACAAATGGTTCTTGCCGTTAGGTTCCGTTAAAAACTCCTTTAGTTTGCTGACATGACATATATATCACAAAACATCCCTGAGGTTCACACACCTATCACAAATGGTCACTACAATTTTTTTTAATTTTTTCATTTAAAATTCATAAAATTTTAGTTTTCTTTTTACGGAACCTAATGACATTGACCATTTATGATCATACATACTAACCTTGAGGACCACGAATGACACAAAAAAACATTAAGAATGCAATCTTATAGTTTCGTAAATCTTAGAGACGTTTTGTGATAATAACCCTTTTAAAAAATATCCCTAGAATGGAGTATAAAATTTGTTAAAGATCTTGGGAAATTTTTCTTGGGACAATTTTCCTGACCAGAATTCAAATTTCAGTCGTCAAAATTAGAAGGAAAAAAAAAATCATTAATCATTAATCAACGATACATAGTCCGGAAATAATATAAAATATTCCGAGTGAAATTGATACTTAGTTGTAAAACGCAAGAATCTAGGCATCCATAGCAATCACCACCTTAACGGTCGAAAATAGTTTGTACCACTTTAGGGGCAATGAAAGTGCATTGCTTAAGCACTTGGCTTACAGTTATTCTATTGAAGCAAATCATTTATGGGGGGAAATAAGCTTTGTACAAGCTCTGTTTTGATGCTTCCCAAAGCCGAACAACTAACTATGCTCCTCCCTAAAATGCTTGCCTCTTGTTCTTCTTCTCAAAATGTTTCACAAGGGAATAATATCGAATTCATGGGGCATGTAGTCTTCACTGGGTCTGTAGTATTTGTCTGGGGAGTAGAGGCTTAAGTTGGAAACTTGGCTAGTATAAAGGCAGGCAAATCTCTCGACCTGCATTACAAAAAGCCAAGATTGAGAGCAATATTCCAAAAACGAAATCCAATTGATGAGAAGGGATGAAGGTTAAAAAGAATTTATCTATTTTTAAAAAGTCAATGTTCAACGATTTTTATTTTGCATAATGCTAAGGCAAGGTTACACCTCACCTGATGAGCAAAGCGAGAGTTCTGATAACCAGTCTTCATGAGTTGTCCCCAAATCTTGTGAAACTGCAGTTATAGGCAAGCAAACTAAAAATTCAAAATTCTTGATACCAAATTCAACGGAATTTACATGACACTGGACTAAAGCCCAGGAACTAGGAAGCACGGTTTGTGTTGTACAAGAGAATCACTACCATTTTGTGACATTCTCGTTGTGCATCTTGATGAGTGATCCGAACTCGATCTCTTTCAGACTATAAAATTAAACCATTAAGGAATAATTAATACAAAATCCACAACAGTTAAGCACATATTTGGCTGAAATAAATTTAGCTTCACAGGTTAACAGCCTAACCTCCAAAGCATTGTATTCAGAAGATAGCTTTTGCTTCTCGTCGGCACTGGTATCTTCAAATCTGAACAAAGCAACCTCACTTCTGTGTAAATATTTCCCCCCGAAAGGAAAAAAGGGAAAAAGAAAAGCAATATGGCCATCTAGATAGATACTGACTTCAGAGACCACTTTAAATGATGTATTTTGTCTTCAATGAGATCGCGTTCATTCCTCAACTTTCGAAGTTGCTGTATGAAACCATTGCATGCAAGTTACATTCTACTAACGCTTGTTCGTTATGAAACCTCCCATAATTAAAGCAGTTTAACAAGAAGTTTAAAAAAGACCTTGCGTGTATCTCTCAATTCCCATAGGAGTTCGACCTCCCTCTCTAGCTCCGGAACAACAAGCATTGTTCTCCACCCTGCTCATAAAGACAAAAAAGGAGGACAAAGACAATCACATTAGGAGAAAGAAAATAAAAGAAAGAGAAAATATACCTTGTCTAAAAAGTTGACACATAAGATAACTGAATATCAAAAAGAAGGGAAATTAGAAGATTTAATACCAAGAACCTTTTTGCTGCGCAAAATATCTCCATATATATGATCACCAACATAAAGAACCTACTAAAAATGTGCAAGGTATTAGACCCAAGCATCCAACTTCAAAATGGGACGACACAGCATTGATCTCAATAATCAAAGCAAAAGAAAATGTCAACCAACTATCTAGAATGAAATTCACTACAGCTTCGGGAAAGAATAGTTCACCTGTGAACTTGACTCAATTGAAAGCAGTTTATGAAGATGACCAACACTGCCTCCCTGAAACAAGGCCAAAGGCATTTGTACTCAGATTAAAAAAAACTAAAGTAACATAGTAATTAATCAGCAAAAAAATAAAATAAAATGGAATACTTGTATATAGAAGACAAAGATGGTAGTGAATTCATTTAAAGCAATTCAGATAAGCTCTTAATATGGTTCTATGATGCACTAGATATATTTAGAAGAGTACCTGAAAAACTCTACAAGCCTTAACTCCCTTCAGTGATAATCTAGGTGAAGAACTTCCAACCTTTTTATAAAAATATAAATTAATTATTAAAACTAGATAAAACAAGGGAATACATAATGTGCTAGACATGAACTAACAAACTAGCATACCAACCTGAGCCATAGGAGAACCATTATCAGTATTAAGTAGCATCCCAGACTCATGATCAACCTCAAACAGATTAGCACGATTACCTTCATGGAAGAAGCTTGGCTTTGCACTGTATAGGCAACAGCTTTCAATGGTTAGTATAAAGACAGTAACTATGATACAGATGCTAAACTGTATATAGTAACTTATATCAGTGTGGATGTGAAAAATTAAATGGCCTAGGATAGGACGAAGTGGAGGACCATGATTTAAATGATTATGAACACAAGTATAAACAACATAAATCAAAAAAGCTATAGTATGTCAAAGGGTATGGCAATTGAAATCTACAATAGCATTCTTTCAATTGAAGACTTCATAAATTGAATGGTAATATAGTGCTAAAGAACAATAACAAAGTAAGATTTGAGGAAAAGGAAAAAACATGACCTGCCAGTGATGACAACATCAAAGTATTGAAGCCAGTCGAAATTGCATTTTCTACTACCATCCAATGTGCGTGACCCACAGAGGAAATTCATTACTATGTTTGTGTAGTCCCATAAACTGTAAGAAGTAATTTAAAAAATAAATAAATAAGTGTGATTATCAATTATCAGCAATAATACATGAAATATTTTCAAATTAAATTAAACAAAATTGAAACTTAAAAGAAGCAAAAATACCTGTTTGTCACCAAGAATGTAGCACGGCCAGAATCTCTCAGCATTTTGAGCATGGGAACTATGGTTGTATCTTCATTAATATACCTTGTATCAATAAGCATGCAGACCAAGTAAGATTGTTTTACTTTCCATTATGGATAGATTTGTATTATGTGAAACTAATATACAATGTTTATCCTTACCTTTTAGGGTCTTTTGCTACCATTTGCTTTAAAGTTCCATCACGGTGGCATAAATCAACTGCAGCTCGAACATCCTTATACATAACAGAGTAACTGAAAAGGAAAAGAACAGAATAAATATTGATAAAGCAGAAGTTTATCATCCATATAGCAAGTCGTATTCTTACTCGGCACCCTTTGGAATTTTTTCCAGATTTTTGTCTTTGAAGTCTACCAATTGAGCAAATAGGTAAGCTTCAGCTAAAGAAAAGAGGGTATCAATGAGAGCATAATCAGGCTCGTCAAAGGAATCCCGTATTAATGTATTTCCATAGGTGCCAACTTTATCTTCCTTAGACAACTCTTTGAATCCATGGTAGGCAACTTTCACATACTTATGCCGATCCATCTGCACAACCATAATTACAAGTATTTCACACATAGATTCATGTAAGTAAGAAGGAACAGAAATCCAACCTAACTTGGACTGACAAAAGACAAACATCAAAACACATAATCTGCAAACAAAAAAAATTAAATCAACCGGATTACCTTCAAGATGTTTCCTCTCTTCTTATCCAGAACCAAGCCTCTGACCATATATGTCCAATCAAAGGACCAATCCAGCAACTACATCAGGTAATTATTATTAATCAGCATACTAGGTATTGCTCATTCTACAAAGGTAGTAAAAAATGTTTGCTAAGTGTTTAAAAAAATTGCACATAACAAAGAAAACATTACTGGGTTATTTGAAATATGAAACCAAAATGATTGAATATGTTAAATGTCAGCAACATCAATTTCTCCCTGAAACGGAAGGAACATATAATAAAACAGACAAACCTCACGTGGGTATCCTAAATCATACACCAATTTCCGGATAGTTCCATCATATGCAAGAGACTCAAAGGTTTCTGGCTTGTATTGTGCCAATGTGTAATCCATATCAAACCCTACCGCAAGAATACTCCTCATATTCAACGATCTGTTGCAGAAGATCTGCTTTCTTATGTCAATTTTACATCCTCCTTGGGGAGATGACCATACACATGGCTGTTGACCACCATCACTGGAACCCAAATGTGAAAAACGTGAAGAGTTGTCACGTCCTACAGCAGTCTCGTAGCCTTTTTCCATTGAATAGCTGGCATGCAATTGACCTGACAGAGTTTAGCAGTAGAGCAAAATTTAGAGCTTCTAATGGTGACTGAGAATGATCATATTTGCATTTAACTAAATGAGGTACTACTATATTATAGATTATGACTAAATACTGTACTTATTTAGAAGGCGTCATGCATAAAACATCATAGATATGCAAACACTGTGAATGAAAGGGGCAGTTGCGATATTTCACAAAGCTGATGTGTGTTCAAGAATCAAAGTAAAGGTAAGTCCCCATTACCCCTCGTTCTTTACTTGACCATTTTTGAAAACTTCCCAAACTAGAAGTCGTTTTCTTTCTTACAGAAAATGAAGATAAAGAAGAAAAAGAATAGACCCTATTTCCTATAATCACAGAACCCAGACATGTTACCTGAAGTGCCAAACAAAAGAGCAGCACAGTGCACCAGGCTAAGTTCCAACTCTAAGAATCCTCCAAGCTACGCTCCAAGAGACACCTAAAAATCCAATTTCTCAATTAAAGAAAAGCTCTGTGCTCTCAGTACATACCCCCCACACAACACAACCCAGTACTTATAACCCTATCTACCTACTACTAACTCCCAAAAAGTTTCACGTCGACAACTATGAAGCAAAAAACAACAATCAACCAAGAGCTTAACCACGCCTCAAATTCACACTTATCAGTTACACAACTGGTTCAGCTCAAAACGAAACGAGAAAGAAAAAGGAAAAAGAGGACATGAGCAAACACGAACCTACGGTATGAATGCCTTTTCTTTTTCCGGGAGAGCGGGAGCGATCTGATTTCCTGAGAATGGCGGAAGTGAAGCGAAAGTGGGGAGAGAGAGAGGAAGGGGAAGTGGAGAGGTCAGGTGAAAACAAAGCGAGGCAGAAGGAAGCGGGTTTCTTGGGAATTCGCATGATTGATTTAAATAGGCATTTGGGGAGAGGATGAGGAGGGAGTGAGAGAGAATCGGATTCGGGAATATTAGGGGAGATGCCAATGGTGATGGGATTAGGAAATTGCAGTGGAAGTGTTGGAGCAAGGAACATATGGAAGTTGGGATTATTATTCGCCCACTACATTGGGAAGTGAAGAAGAAAGAAGGGAATTAAATTCCTTGCGACGGGACGACGCTGAGTGAGAGAGCTGATGAGTTGGTTGTTTCCGTTTCAGTGATGTGAAACGGCGGTGGTGGGAGTGGTGGGAAATTGTTCATGGATTAAGATGCTGTGCCACGTAATATTGGGGTGGGGAAATTCTTCTCTATTATTTTAATCTTTTTTATTTATCCAAAATTGTTCCTTTTTGTTGTTTTCCTTTGCGCATATACTGTCAAGTTATTTGGTGACCAAATTCCGTGACTATAAAATTAGAAGGAAAAAATGAGACATAATAGTTTAGGCAATTATGTATTGCCTCTTTTGCCTAAGGAGGGAGTAATAAGGATATATCGGTCCAAGTATATATTAACTCTTTGAAGTCGACTTCTTTGCTCATGATAATCTTCTTATTTTAAGCATCCGAAAATTTATAATTGGGTTTATCGTCATCGTAACTTATAATTTTCCATATTCGAAGTTTAGGATTCATCATATTCTTCGCTTGTTGGGCAGTTGACAATCCACGGTTAGCCAAGCTAGCAAGCAATAATGTCATTCGCATTAGCCTAGAACATGTTTAGAAATCATCACGCTCCTTCAATGCTTCTTTCACATGCCAAACATAATTTATCAATGCCATGTCTTCAGCTGAGTCTAAATACCTAGCAAGTAAAGACCATAACACGTCTTTTGTTGATGATGAAAGACCCCCCCAGACGAAGCCATAGCACCAAAATCAACAAAAGTATCGAGGAAATGCTAAATAATACAAATAAAGAGGTTGGGATGAGAAATTTGGACTAAAATAAGATAGAGGAGAGTGAAGAACATGAAAATTGAGATGTTAAGATGCACACCGTGATATGGGTTGATTTTGTAAATTTGGTGGAGAAAGCGACCACACAAGCAAAAAGGAGAGTAAAATAAGAATTTAGGGTTAGAAGGTGATCTAAGAAATGGATTTAATTTACCATAAATTTAGAAGAAAATAATAAGAGTATTTGTGCCAAGTTAAAATGAAATGAAATGCTATTTTATATATATATATATATGAATTTTTTTCTTCAATTTAGGCAAGTTATAAAGTCCACAAAACGGTACTTGTGCCGGTTATAAACTAATCACTTAATGAAATTTTATAGTATACTGAGTCAAAATTTCATTCATGTACATCGATGAGAATAATATATAAAAGGATAATTTACATAAATACCACATAAATTTTTAGGCACCATACACGGTTACTACATGAACGTTTAATTTATACTATTAACCACCTTAACTTTATAACATGTTGCAATTTACCACATACGTCTAACTCTGTTAACATTTATGTTAAGTCAAGTCACATGTGTACTAGAATTTAAAAACAAACCAACCGAATTATCCAACGACCACTTTCCACCTTTCTCTCCCATTGTCCAACAGCCAGTGACAAACCTATTAAGGCGAAAGGAGGTGCAACTATACCTCATTTCGTCGGAAAAGTCAATATAGGTGTTGCATATTGCACCTCAACTCAACCTGGGAGGTGCACTCTAGGTGTTCGAAGAAAAGCTTAAATGAGGTCTGTTTGCTGCTGCACTGCGTTGTGTTGTGCATCGCACTTGTTTTTTTTTATATATTTAAATCCTTGCCAAAATTGCACATCGGCTGAAAAATTCCTAGGTTCGCCAGCCCTTACCCTTTGCATAGATAACTTATATATATATATATATATATATATATATATTCCATTTTTATTGAGGGATCCTTCAAATAATTTTATTTGAGATACACCCTTTTAGGTCCCTTATGGAAGAAAAAAATTCAACAATCCAAACCATCTATTTTTTAAGTCTGTATTCATAGATCATCCTTGCAAAAAATTAGACAAATCATAAACCGTTTCGACATCTAATTATATCCTACAAAATCAATGAACAAAAGTGCTTCAAGAAAGTACTAAAATTTCAATAACTCAATTGAGTGGTCAAATGATATCATATTCAAGTTATTTTTTGTAGAAATTATATTTGAATGATTATCTAAAAAATAGACGGTTTGAATTAATAAAATACAATGTAAAGTGGGCCATACAAGAGTGTCCATCAAATAAACTTATTTCAGAGATTTCTCAATGAAAGCTATATATATATATATATATATCTTCCCAAGAGAGGAAATCATGGTGAATTAAAAATGAATATGAGTTTATGTAATTCTCTGTTTGTGTACAGGTGCAATTTTCCCCATAAATAAACTACGGTTTTTTTTAATCTCCATATTTGGTGTGTTAAATCTACTATAAGATCAAATCATTACCATATTGATGAACAACTTGGCGGCTCTCTCAAGGGATAAATATGTTGGTTGTACAATAATGTTCGGTTGTGATTAATAATCTTACATACTAATTTATTGAAGTCTTTGGGGATATAATAAATTTTTCAAAAAAGAAACTCATGCATGCATAACCATGTTAACATTGAATTCGGCCCCTTCAGTTGAGGGATCCCTCAAATAGTGTTATTTGAGGGATGGGGCGCTCAACCGTTGGATCTCTTTTAATGAGCTTGTGTGGCTGTGATTCTTTTAAATGTTTTAACCCGTTTGAAAACTCCTGACCCATCACAAACTCCACTTACGCTTGGGAATGACGTACGCTGGGAAACCAAACGTCTTTCTTCTTCCTCCAACGCTTGGAGACCTTTCACGCAGACCAAACGACGTGAAGAAGA